TATATATATATATATATATATATATATATAATATTCATTAGTATCACAGGTATTTATAAATATTTTTTCACAAATACTGATAAGAAGCCCAACGAGTTATGTGATAGATTTTTTTTGGATAAGATGATAGCAGGTAAACCCAATGGCAGAGCTTAGTATAAGGTCTAGGAGGCTTTGGCTCCCTAATTTTTTTTTCACATACATAAAATAATACATAAACAAAACTTTTTTTTTAATTTTAATACATTTTAACATTAATAAAGTATTTTTTTAAATTTTTTCACCGGTAGGTATTATTTATACCCGATTTAACCCATTGTCATATTTAATGTGGATTTATCTAGATGACAACTAGAATATATATGATATAAAGTGAAAAACCTAAAAATTTTAAAGATTCTTTATTTTGAAAGTAATTTACAAAAGCTTGTCCCATACTAAAACGATGATGCAAATAAATTGTCACTACTAAAGTATTCGTGTTTAAGAATGAAGTGTTTTAATATGAAAAGACTCGCACGTGAGAGAAAGATGGATAAAAATTTAATGTGAGTTGAAAATCTCACCTTGTATGAAACACATGTTTAATTAAGCTGTATATTTAAATTAAAAAATCCAATTAAAATTGAATTTATTTGTTCATTTGGAAAAAGCTTTAGAACTTTCTGTATTGGGAAATCGACCTCTAACTATTTCTATAAGCATTTTTTTATAAGTAGATTTTAAAACCGGAGTTTTAGCTTCTTAAGACGATCGAAGTGCTAGAAAAATATTTTTGTTTCAAAGACAACAAAGAAACAGTAAGTAAACAGTGTTAAAAGAAGATTCAATTGTGGAGAGAAGTAAAAATCAATTTAGAATTATCACTATAATATATGAAAAGTACAACTAAATTTTGGAGACAGGTTATTGACATTTGTAATTAATAATTTTCTACACCCATCACATTCGATTATTTCTCCCAGTTTACTCGTCGTTTATGATTTATCCACCACGTTTGTAAAATCCGGAACCCGACCACACATGCCAATTACGAGCCCACACGTGTGGCTAAAATCTGCATTCAGGATGAAGGCCCAGCCACATAAGCCACGTACTTATGTGGATAATTTCAGTCCACTGAGACGTAGCATGTACAACTACCAAACTACCCTTCCACTTGAATCATGAACCCGTCTTTGCGACTCCAACAGAGGGTAATAACGGTAATTCCAATCACTCTCTTCTTCTTCAACAATTGCCTGTACGTAGAAAACAGGAAACAGTTTAGACCGTTAACCAGAAATGAACGCCGTCCCTTCTTCTTCCTCTTCCGCCTTCGCTTTCGTAACTCAGTCCAAGAACCCTAATTATATCTTCAAGCTCACACATAATGTACCCATTTTGCCCCTACACTCACATGCTCCGTGTTGCTCTCTCAGTGACTCATCCTCCTCGTACACCACGGTGCTGGACAATAGTTCCCTTTCATCGGATCAGAATTACAGTAATGCAGTTTCGCCCGAAGACTCGGGCTCCGTGGATGCCCTTGCCGTTCGCCGGCCGTTGACTGATTTTTCCGGCAAAGAGGAAGAAGAGAAGGAGGTGGAGGAGGAGGAAGAGAAGGAGAATGAGGCGGATGACGGTGGTGACGCGAAGGCTTCCACGATCGACGCGGGGCTCGCGAAATTCGCGAAGAAGATGCCCATGTTTGAACCTGAGAGGTTGGAATCGAAAGAGAGACCCCTCAAAGTGAATTTGGACTTGGCGTTATACAGGGCGAAGCTTATGGCTAGAAGAAGCTTTCGATATGAAGAAGCAGAGGCATTGCTTCGAAAGGTGTGGTGTCACGTTTTTCCTTTTTTTTAAGTGACTAGTTTGTTTATTTGGAAATATTGTCAATTTCTTTTCTGATGGTTTTGAATGGGAATGGAAGTGTATAAGCTTTTGGCCTGAAGATGGTCGACCTTACGTGGTACTTGGAAAGATTTTGAGCAAGCAATCGAAAACAGGTGAAGCCAGAGAGATATACGAGAAGGGTTGCCAGGCTACGCAGGGTGAAAATGCTTACATTTGGCAGGTTAGTGTTCTAGTGTTTTTTGCATGTGGTGATCACGCTTCACACTCTCTAGCTGGCTACGTTTTGTTTACTGGTTGCTTTGCCTCCTTCAAATCATGTTTGTCCAATAACTCATTCTGGTGATATGTTTGATTTCCTAAGAGAACTACATTTAAAATTCTCTTAATTTCGTTTATGCATTAATTAAAATTCTTCTTTTAGGGAAACTAATATAATTGAATTTTTATAAATTAAATTATGCATAAACTAATATTAGTTTGTAGAGAAACTTATTTCATTTTTTCTTTCTTAGAAGTTTTCCCAAATAGGCCCATCACACTCGTTATACAATGAGTCAATTGTTAAAGATCGGAGTGATGCATGTTACCTCTGACTATATCTATATTTAGTATTCAATCAAGTTTTTTACTTAGTTGATAATAAATTGCCAACATCAAATCCCAACATGTTTTAAAGATGTCCCTTCATCGTACTTAAAATCTTAGATGGGCATAGATGTGACTATAATTTACCTGACCTGGCAGGCATATTTCCTTTGAGGCATGTACTAAACCTGACATTATTTTTTATTTTCAGCTACTAAAACATAATGTTATTAGGAGGGAGGGTCATTGTTTCCGATACTCTGATACGCTGAATTTTAACCTCTGAAATTAATAAATGCAAGTTCTGTTTGGACAGTGCTGGGCTGTTCTTGAAATGCAAATGGGAAATTTCAGGAGGGCAAGAGAGTTGTTTGATGCTGCCACGGTTGCTGATAAGAAGCATGTTGCTGCTTGGCATGGGTGGGCAGTTCTAGAGTTAAAGCAGGGAAATATAAAGAAGGCAAGGAGTCTACTCGGTAAAGGTCTTCAATATGGTGGACAGAATGAGTACATATACCAAACACTTGCACTGCTTGAAGCTAGAGCAAAAAGATATCAGCAGGCTCGTTATTTATTCAATCAGGCCACAAAGTGTAATCCTAATAGCTGTGCTAGTTGGCTTGTAAGTCATGGTGATACGAGAGATTTAGTTTATCAATTAAACCTGTATGTAGTGCTTGTTATCTCAAATCATGTTTATTCTTTCTAAAATAGAGTTGGGCTCAAATGGAGGTGGAACAAGAAAACTACCGTGCTGCTAGGAAATTGTTTGAGGTTGTATTTAACATTACGAGTTCCTCTTTTTGTTTTTTTTTTTTGTTCTGATTCATCTGATTGGTTGAACTAGACAGACTATATGTTCATTACGAGTTGGGACATCTTTTTTCAGTCATTTGCTTTTATTATTTTGTCATTGCGTGACTTATGTGTTTTTTTTTCTTCTTTTTAATAGAAAGCAGTGCAGGCTAGTCCCAAAAATAGGTTTGCTTGGCATGTATGGGGCGTTTTTGAAGCAAACATTGGCAACATTGACAAGGGAAGAAAACTTTTAAAGATAGGCCACACTCTAAATCCGAGGGATGCTGTTCTACTTCAATCTCTTGCTTTATTAGAATACCAACACTCAACTGCAAACCTTGCTCGGGTTTTGTTCAGGAGAGCGTCAGAATTGAATCCAAGGCACCAACCTGTTTGGTTTGTAAGAAATTTCTTTTCTTGGATCATTTATCTTAAATATCATGATGTTCTGTAAACTAAGCTTGACATGATGAGGAATCTGTGCCATACATACTGTATTCATGATGTGGTGCTGACTACCAGGAAGTAAGATATTTTAGAAAGACTAAAGGGGATCAGAATATGCCACTTCTGTTTGTTTTTTATTAGTGCCATATATTTATTATGGCATTCTTCTTACTGTCCCTATCTAGTTCTGGATCCTAATTAATGTTTCAAAGAATATACTAATTCAACATGAAAAATAGTTTATCTTTCAGATTTAAAACACCTTGTTGCACGAATCATGACTTCTATTTTACTGCATACTTTTGATTCCCACCTACAGATATTTTCTTTTTACTTTTCGTATATAACAATTTGAAAAGAGAATGATTGACCAGAAAATTTGGGGGCATGTAGGCTTGGGGTTGGATGGAATGGAAGGAAGGAAACATGAATAAAGCCAGAGAATTCTACCAAAAAACACTCTCAATTGATCAGAACAGTGAAACTGCTGCCAGATGCCTTCAGGTGCGTGCATATGATGAATCATGTTACAACTTGAGTCTCTACATAGCTTAATGATCACTTGCTGTGACTATTGTCTCCAATGCAGGCTTGGGGTGTTCTGGAGCAGAGGCTTGGCAATCTTTCTACTGCACGTAGATTATTTAAATCCTCGCTGAATGTAAATTCTCAGAGTTATGTGACATGGATGACTTGGGCAACAATGGAGGAAGAACAAGGAAACTCCGTGCGTGCTGAAGAGATTCGTAATCTCTATTTCCAACAGGTAACTGTCATATATTGGAAGAAATTTTTCATGATCCAGGGACCGTTATAATCTCAGACCAATTTCTACTTGACACATAATTTAACATCACTTATTGTTTCTTGTAAATTAAAGGATTGCACGGTGTAAAATGTAGATAATTTAACTTTAGATTCTCTGTAATAGATTGAGAAAATATCCTTGTGCGCTGCTAACATGAGAAACTTTATTTGTTGCATATGGTACAGCGCACAGAAGTTGTAGATGATGCTTCATGGGTTATGGGATTCTTAGATATTTTAGACCCGGCCATTGACACTTTAAAGACGCTCCTCAAGCTGAGTCCAAATTCCTACAATATGCCATTTAATTCTTTGAGAAATATTTCGGGAACAGATAAAAACAGTGACGATTTTTCTATTGAAGACGATTATGAGTATGATGCAAATGGTGAAAGTGACTTCGATTTGGATGCTTTCATTATGAAAAGACTATCCTTAGATTCCTCCAATCTGGAAGTTCAGTTGGAAGCACCCAAAACTTCTTCTGAAAAGAGAATTCCATCTGGTAGAAGGATATGGCGACCAAATAACAGAATTGCTAAAGTGCAAGTCTAAAGAAATGTTGTTTAGTTGTTGTCTTGTAAAAATTGTTTTGATTTTAATAGAGTGAGTGACCATGGCATGTCATGACAGGTGTTTTGCCTTGTGTTGAACAAGGCCATAGAAACGAATATTTTTTAATACAATAGAAATATACTAATTTCTCATTTAAGTTTTTTTTTAATCAATCCCAGTCATGATATCTCTTAAATTTGATTAAAAATCTCGAACTTTCTCTACCTTTAATGGAAGATCGTATAGCAAAGATTAAACTCTTATAGCCTTCTAATTTTTGTTTTGGTATTCTATCTCTTTCTTATTGTTGTTTCAATGTTTCAATTTTTTTCAGTTCATAATTTATTGCAATGAAGTAAACCATCAAAATTGAAATAAAATAGAACTTTACAGTTAAGTGAAAGCAATCTGCCAGTTTATAAATTAAATTAAGCTAAAACACAGGCATACAATTAAAGTGAATACTCATTCTGTATAGAACAACTACTTTTGACAGTTTACCACACGGAAAATGTATCCGAAATTTAAACGAACTTCCCATTGACAAAATGTCATTTTGTGGAATTTGGACGTTCCAATTCAGTAGCTGAAGTGAGCTTTGGATTCCAAGGAAAAATATTATTGATGCACTTTTATCAATGGTATACAATTAATTTAAATTATTAATTAATTAATTTTCATATCTGGATTTATAATTTGTTTAATGTCTGGATTTGTTATGTTTTGTTTTGGACTTCCTTTGTGAAAAACATTTAACATGCATTTATATTTATTTATTTTTATAGAAACAACTAATGATATGTATATAAATTATTTTTACTTTACTTTAACAAACTCTTCAAGATAACATATAAAATTATATTGAAATAAGTTCAACCTTTAATAGTTAATTTTAAAATACTTAAACAAGTTCTTTTACAAATTAAAGTGTGTGTAGAGAGAGAGAGATTTATAATTTATCAGAATACGGTCTATATAAATATGTGATATCATAAATACAATTTACATAGATATTGTGTGAGTATTCTCCCTTGGATCTTGTACGTGTGACATCGTTTATTGATGTTCCAATACATAATTACTATATAATGAAAAATATATTAGATAGGTAAACTGATGAAATTTAATTTATTCACCAATAAAGTTAACTGTTATTATTTTAAATATTACATTACATTTTTTTAATCTCATCTAAAAAATTATTGTTAGTTTATCTACAGCTGTCAAAATGGATAATCCAGATCGAACCGGTCCAACTCATTATGGGTTGATCATTTAGTGAACCAACCCAATTTGGCTCACTTATTAGCGAGCTGAAAATATTTGAACTCAACCCGACCCACCGCGGATTGGTGGGTTAAATAGGTTGGCTCACTGACTCATTTAATTATAATTTTTTTTTAAAATAAAAAAATTACAATTTGTTTTAATTCAAATCTAAATAAAGGCACACTAAAATCATGTTAAACTCCAAAGACAATTAAAAAAAATATATATATATCATATAATCTAAACGTAATCCAAAAACATGTACAAAAGACGAACAAATAAGTTTTTAATATTGATAATTTTTGTATCACTTGTTCATTTATAATATTAGAGTCTTGAATGAATAAATCTATAATATTTTTCTCTATTGAAACATCTCTTTCTTTATCACCATCTACCTATAATAAAAAAATGCTAACTAATAATATTGAAACACAAAATAATAAATAATTAAATTAAATTAGGTGAGTTGGTGAGCCACTCACGGGTTCAACCCGGTGAACCGGGTTCTAAGTGAGCTGGGTTGAAAACTAGTCCACATAAAAAAATACATTTTTTTCAAACTCAACCCGACTCAAATCCGTGATAAACTGGATTGATCCACGAATTACAACCCATTTTGACAACACTAAATTTATATGTTAATTACGTTTTCAACTTCACTTAGAATTTTAGAAATTGAAGGAGCTTGATTAAATTGACTTTCAGAAAATAAATATTGAATACACACACTCTGACATCAAATTCAAAACATGAAACCTACCATAAGGTTACTTACAAGCAATCATTATAATTCCTTGCTAGCATTATATAAAATCTGTTTGGATGAGATCATTTAAAAGGATAATTAATTTTTTTGATCAATTTAAATTTTTTTAGAATTACATGGATTGTTTGGATAAAAAAAATCTAGAAACTTTTTGAAGATATTTTAAATGATTAAAACAATAAAATTTGAATTCACTTAAAATCGGAGAAGATTAAAATTTCACATAGTGACTTTCTTTTTATATACATATACATACATATTGAAAAAAAAATTGTTAAATATTATTTAAATATTAAAATTTGACTAATATTTTATTGCACATTTTAATTTAAAATTTTTATATTTTAAAATAAATATTCCTAAAATATAATTTTTTTAAAAGAGAAATTTAATTACTTTATCTAAACAATATAATTGAAATACAAAATATTTTAATTACTCTGTCAAAATAAAATATTTGAAAAAAAAAATCAATTACAAACAATTCAAATAAACAAGCCTTTCAATTTTTAAAATTATAGAAATGTCTTATCCAAATAGGAAGTAAAGGTATAGAAATTTTTTATGACTTCTCATCTAAAATATTCAATTCTATGTGATTTTCTCTATTAAATAAAAAATAATGATACTTTGACAACATTTTAACATCATAATGACTTTTGTAATTCAACACACACATTCTAATACACTCTCCTTATAAATTCATATGTGATCATTTAAATCCATCCAATTCAATTAAATCTAAACAAAAATACAGAACTTCACAAAATAACTATCAATGCAAATCATAAACGTTATATTAACTAACATAATTAATATCCTACAACGAGTATTGATAGTAATTATACTAGTTGTAGTAAGTATAATCTTACTACATATTCAATTATAAAATTAAATTATACACAATAAATACAATTTATCGTAGAAGTACTTATTTAGGTTGTTTGTTTAATAACCCTTATTCATTTTAAAAAGTAAAAGATAGTGCCTTTAAAGAAATATTATCATGAATTAATTTAAAATATGTGAAGGAAAAAGAAAATTTATTTAAAAAAGAATTTCTGATTAGTAAAACTAAATTGAATTATGCTTATTACTCAACTAACTGAATATTTCACAAAGAAAAAAAAATGATAAGGATTTTAGATATATTAGAGAGAATATTAAAAAAATTAAAAAATTATTAATATGAGTGATAAACTAATCAATTTGTAATAAATGAAAATGAAATATTTTTTCGTNGTGCTTTCAGGCATCACCGTCAGAAGGATGATGCAACACTCCTTCAATTTTGTTACCAGCATGTTATGTCATGTGTTTTGCTGTTTGCATTGAAGCGAACATTCTTTGTAATCTTGACATGATCGGCAAGTAGCACATGGACTGGAATGGAATTATTTTTTTCCTCCGTCTTGGTTGCAATGTTTGAAATCGAGGATGGCCACAAACTTGCATTCCACCAACGATGCACATTTTTGCCATTGTCGTTGTCATAGAAAAAAGCATACTCCATTCACACAACAATCCACAATCTTCTTCGCTTCCAAATCCCCAGCTTTGAAACCCATTTTTTGACTTGATAATAATTCTTCGGCAATGAATTGGTGTGTGGTGTGTCAGAGCTAACACTAATTTTGTTAAAGAAGTCCCAACGCTTGATTGGGAATGTTCCAATTAGATTTACCAGCCATGAATCTAATGCACACTGAAATTTTTGACTCAGATGAACCTTCAAATACAAGTTGGTTTGCCTCAACCAAGAGATTATAAAACCTCTGAGTGCTTTCATTTGGAGACTCTTCATCAGGACTATCGTCTACTTCTTGTTCAGCATGTCGACGAAGAGCATTGTCGATCATCTCTTACCTATAGGTAAATTGATCTATCTCATATGTATGCACAATAGTATTCGAACCTAATGCAGGCCACTTTTCATGAGCATTAGAGGTAGAAGGCATTGCTTCACCATTTAAAATCCAAACCGTGTAATTTGGCATGAACCCTTTTTGGTATAGGTGAACTTTGACGACTTCATCTTTCAAAATCCTTGTACATTCACACTTGATGCATGGCATCGAACCCTCCATCAAGGGCATAATATTTAATATCGTCGAGCATCTCAATGAACCTCTTAAACTCCGACGGACCCAAAAACTTCATTCAAAACCTCCCTTCGCTATAAGGAGATGGTAGAGACATGTGCCGTCAGTGGGCGCTGGATGCACGTTGGTTGGGAAAGATGAGGTCACTGTTTGTGGGACAAGCCAAACAAACAAAAAACTGAGCCCAACACAACAATACTCATGTGGAACATACAGTAATGTAAAACCTTAACTACTTAATGCGAAAAGTGGGAAGGGGCCAATTGAACAATTATTGTCATAACCAATACAATAAGGCACGTGCAAAGAGAAGTCCTGAAGTATGAGATGCCGTAGCAACATGCAGTAACGGGAGTTGTGTCAAATAAATTTGGGGGAAACAACTTATCATTACTGAAGTTCTCTTTTATAGAGTACTTTCACATATTTTGTAGGTTCTAAGTGTTTATAGTACTTTTACCCTTCTCATTCCATTGAGAATGTGTGTAGTACCATAGGACTTTAAATGACTACTTAACTTAATCAAACTGTAGCCCAATAAATGAACATACACTATACATGAACATACAATATATTCATCAACATACAACATATACATGAACATACAATAAACATTTATTGTGATCAATAAGTCACACCTGCACAACAAAAGCATGGATATATAATACATACACCAATAATGTGGAATTCAAAACATAATAACAAACATTATAAAATTGTTAATTTCTCACCCATACTTTGAGTTTTAGAACCTAAATACTCAAACTTTGAGTTTTAGGTTATTCCTTACATTTCACTACTTTTCTACCTTGATTTCATTACTTTAGACTTGTTAGGATGTTTACATTACTTAAAATTAGTCTACTTTAGGTCAATTGGCAATTTCTCACCTTTTAAGTACACTTTTTCAAACCTAAATACTCCAACTTTGAGTTTTAGGTTATTCTTTGCATTTCACGACTTTCCTACCTTGATTTCACTATTTTAGACTTGTTAGGATGTTTACATTACTTCAAATTAGTCTA